CTTTTAGATAGAGCGCAATTCAATCAAAGTTTTGTATGAAAACAGCATGAAAAAATTTTGCAGAGCGTCGAATTTTCAATAAAAAATGACACGAATTTTCACTTTTATTTCATTTGTCGCTAAGTTTTGCCTAATTTTTTTTTTTTAATTTTCATACGAGTTTTATTTTTTTTCATGCTATTTCCATACAAAGTTTGATTGAATTGCGCACTCTCTAAAAGTTAATATTAAGAGCTAAAACTTTCAGAGAATTGTTTTTTACAATTTGGAACCATTTGAGCCCATGAGAGCAAGGAAATTCAAAAATGTCCAAATTAAGGACCACTCTATATATATATATATATATATATATATATATATATATACACGCATATATGCTAAACAATGATATTACCAAACTATACTCTCTTCTTGCATTTTAACAATATTCCAACCTTTCACCAATTAATTTTTAACAGTAAATAAATTAATATATATAGGAATGCCATATAAAAGTAAAATTAGATTATGATACAAAACTATGATTGTTTAACTATAAATATAATCAAGTTAAAATTATGAAAATCATCTATAAAACATCTATAATGCGGATGTATCTTTGGTTTTGCTATTCTGCGAAATTTATTATAACCAAACTTGTTCGCCACGTGAATTGAAACGTTATATATAGTAACAGCTTCAGATATCCATTTAATATTAAAATGTAAATTTAAGTAAAAGTACTACGAGCGTTTTGAAAAATTCGAAATTTTTTAAAAAAAAAAAAAATGCCGGACTATATATATATAACGAATTAAAGTAACTTACCGCACAAATAGCTTAAAAATAAAAATACACAGACAAAATCAAAAATAAATATTGGTTATATTTAATAACAAAAAAAAAACAAAGTTAAAATTTATAAATAAATATGAAATATAAGAGGACCATGGTCACCAACGTTGAACAAAACCGTATTGAAATTGATTTAGTTGCCAAGAATAAAAAAATGCGATAAAAGGACTGCGACAATAACGCACGGCGACGTCCACCGGAAGAGAGAAGGATCAGCGTCTGAAATGGTGCATAAACGAAAGATATGGGAAATTAGTAAATATAAGGTATATACAATGAATGTAATGTATAGAGTTTTAATTCAACGGTTATGTTCATCATGGCCATATATTTTCCATACTTATTTACAATTGTTATCTTTATATTTTATTTACAAATATGTGGTCATAAGCGATATTTATCTTACTCTTCGTCAGTGTTTTTTTTATTTTTAAGCTATTAGAATAGTGAGTTACTATAATTTGCTGTATCTACGTATTACATATATTTCAGATTTATTTTGTTATGATGTTTAGTTGTGAATTTACATTTTTATTTCAAACTTTTAGTAATTTATCTATTCAAATAAAAACAAATTCTTATTTAATTTATTATACTTTTCACTAGAGAAGGATCGAATTGAGACTCGGAACAAAGGTTAAAGTTTCATCTAATTTTGTTTTTTCTATTAAATGAGTGGATGATATACTATATATATATATATGTAGTATTAAACTGATATCAGTTTTTAAAATTATTATGAGTACCAATCTCAACCATTTGGTCTTGATGTATTGTATTTTATATATATATATATATATATATATATATATATATATATATATATATCTTATTTTAAGTTATCGAACATCTAAGAGTAACTAATAAATTATATTAATTGTTAATCATCTAAATCGAAGCAAATTTGATTGATCTTGTCGAATGTTTATTACAGCTAGGTAATCACTTAACATAAAACATAAACTTTATAGATTGTTTTTTACTCATATTAATTAAATAAAAATTTATTTTAAAGTAATGTTTATGTGTGTGATGGAAAAAAACTGTAAATTATCATTGAAATACATAATTTCGATTTAATAGATGAATATTAGATCAAATATGCATTATAAATATAACATAATAATTTCAGTACTTCGAACATTAATGAGTTTGCTTGACTGAATCCGCATACTATCTATTCAATATGAGATATTGTGAAGTTAAACGATTATATTATACACAGAAATTTGAGTTTCACGCAGTTATACATTTAGATACTTTTTAAAATATATACGAAACATATTTACACAACTATATTTATACTAAAACATTTATTATATTATTTTATGCTATATTATCTTATATAATATTATATATAAATACCAACACATGTATATATATATATATATATATATATATATATATATAGTAAATAATTATTCATTATAATAAATGTATTCAGTTTTCGCTAGTAAATCGCTAGGAAATCAATATTACATTAGCACATATTTTATTAAGTTTCTACTATTTGAACTACTGTATATATATATATATATATATATATATATATATATATAAATAAATATATATATATATATATATATATATATATATATATATATATATATATGCATTAACATGTGCTCAAGGTATATACATACAACTATATGTACATACATAAATATATACCTATGTAAATACATATATATATATATATATATATATATATATATATATATATATATATAATTTATTTATTTATTTATTTATGTATAGTTATATTTAACATTCCCTTGCTGACTTATTAATATTAGAAAGTCAAATTCGCTAATTCGCTGACATGATAATTGTAATACGTATATATGTTCTTATGCGAAAGTAAATTTTTCATCAATTTTTACAAAACGTTGCACTAAAAAATATAAATAAAAAATTTTGTTATTTGATAAAACTCAATAAGACTAATCGCAATGAATTATTCGCGTGATGAATTCAACATGAAATTTTTCATGAACAAAAAAAACTGAACCAATTTTAAAAATTAGAAAATCGGTAAAGCAATTGCAAGCAAATTGTAGAGAATTGTTGGGAATTAATTGTTGATAAGACTCGACCAGACCATCCCTTGCTAATCAAGCATTACAACTTTTTAATTTAAAAATTCCAAAAGTATTTCCTTAAGGTTTCAATTATCATCAATATTCACCGGGATTTCATGTGAAAGTCGAGAGAGGATTCGACGTTTAATATCAAAAGAGAGATCTGAGCAACAACCATGTAACGGCCGATATAGTGCAATTCCATTGCAAGTTCGATTTCGACAACTTAAGATTAATGGACCATCACGAACAAAAGTACAGGAGGCACGTACTTGAGCAATGGTCGAATTAAAAAGAACTACCCTCAACTGATTCAAAATGGGAACAAAGTAACGATTGGAGGTAAGAAGGTCTTTAAATTCGTCAAACTTAAACGTTACAAAAGAAAGCTGATAATAGGCCTGCTGCCTGTTGACGTAAATGAGTCATCATTTATTTTAAATTAATGAAATATATCAATGGATACAAAGCGATCTCGATTATAGGCGATTATGGAATTGCCGGAAAAACCACTGAGTGTTGTTGCTCATCTGCGATATATTTTACTACGTGAATGGGCCAGCAAAGGAAGACACAAGCGACAAAGTTGCTTTCCAAAAACCTCTTGACACAGCGAACGATCGTATCAAACGGCTAGAGATCGCGACAAAAGCTCAAAGCTGCTGATCCTAATTTGGGCATGGTGGAACTTACTGCCTGTATCAATTCTAAAATCTATTCATAGCTCTAATTTAGGAATGAATTGATTTTCCAGTGAGGTTTGTATATATAGATCATGAAAAATGTATTGTCAATACCAGCATCACTTCTTTCCATGACGAATTCAACGCGGAACTTGATGCAATTTATATGAAAAGAAGTTGATGTTAAGACTATATCATATATACTTCCATGATGTACTAGAATACTTCTTTATATATGATTGAAAAATATATACATATACACGTGATATTCATCGCTATCGTCGTATAATAAAACACTAAGCATAATGAATCCACAATGCAACAAAATTTAGGAAAATCGCCATTTAAAAGCGGTATTTCGCTGGTATAACATAAAACAAAATATATGTAATTCTAAAGGCCTTTGTGAAAAATTCCGATAATCCAATTTTCATCCTTCTGCCATTGAATTCTTCAAAACAATGGTATATTAATTGATATGATAATACTTGTTTATCATTTAGAACACATTCATGGAATACGCTAAAAATCATTCTCTTTGATTTGCATTATTTGAGATCTCTATAGATACACTTTTATGAGATACTAATTCTCCTAAAAGTTAGTAACCAAGTTTTTTTTTGAAGATCACATTTCATACCGATACCAAAATCTTAGATAATGGATGTTAGTTCGATGCAAACTTAAATACATTACATATTACACACTAAAATTAATAAAAGCTTAATACAAAGTGTATATAGATGAACCAAAAAGGACTCCAGTCTTAAGTGTTTCATTGTTCATATATGCAAATTACTCTGATTCATATTAGTTCAAAATTAAGTACAACTTTAATTTATTATAAGTGAATTTATAAAGTTTTATATAGAAGTCCGAAACTAATATGTATTTTGCAAGCATATTTTTGAAACGAGATTACAGAATATGTTCTCTTTCTAATATTTTTTAAAGGGTTATTTAATATATACTCGTATCAATATTTTGTATATGCATGCAAGCATATAAATATTTGTATGTATGCCTTTTAGGAATTATTATAAAATGGTGGAACATATATAGAAACTACCAACACCAGAAAATAAAATATTTTGTGTAGTGTAGTGGACAAAATAGTATAATAATTAATTAAATGTAATAAACATTTATTATCACACCTTTCATATGATATGATACAAGTTAATATAGTATAAAAAATGTGATAATAGGTGCCTTAAATTGTCAAAATTAACTAATATTATGATACAATGTTTTTGACCATTTTCATAAATAAACATACAATAACAAATTGTAAAAAGTTATAAAAATATATAAAATATACATTAAATATTACATACCAAATTCGCTATTACATTGTATATTACTTACATCAATATATTATTTTTCATAAACTCAATCCTCCTTGTTATTACATATAAGTTGATGCATATGTATTATATAGTTAAAGCTACAACAAACCATAGCATACGAATTCTATAAATGTTTTTAAAACATTATTTTGATAAACAGAGAAATTCAATTATTTATATAATTTCAAATAAACTTATAATAAAACAATTGAACAATGTTGAATCCAGCCATATATCACACCAGTCATTTTAAATGATTTTTGTTTTCTGAATTACGATTCCATAAGCAACTTGATTTTTCATTTTTTATTTATCACAGTGTGGCATTTGAATGATGACCTCATTCTTCATCTGTTATAGGTAACCGAAGTAAATACAAAAATGCTTGTATCAGCAGTTCATTATAAAAGAATAGTCAATTAAGTTAATTATTAGTTCCAGAATTAATTTATGTTAAGTAAATTTATATAGTCATTGTTAGTAATGCACATAACAACAATATAATGCAAACAATTCGACTAATAGCAAATGCAACGCAGTGATTAAAGTTTCATCTGAATAAGCAAGTTTCAATCACTAAACCATTAATACAGATGCTCCAATTTGTTAATAGCCATTATGTATTAAACAAGGATTACCATACAATAACAAAAATTAATTTGGTAGGACTATGGTTACATTTATAGTTTCTAATATGTGAATTAACCACATACACATGAAATGAATACTTTTATGGATCGCAAATATTCTTTTGATAGTCATCTATATAAGAAGGTATACTGCAATCTCTTTATAATAATAGACTAAGCTTTGTCAATGAAAGTCAAAAGCCTCCACTTACACTTTACAGTCTTTAAATTGATATAGTAGTATTAAAATTATTCAATGATAATAGAATTATTATGATTTATCTATGCAAAACTTTTGCTAGCAACAGCATAATTTTGAAATATTGCTTCTGTTTGAAATGTAATGCAGTTGTAATTTAAGAAGACTTTTGTTCTTTCAAAAGTTATTCATTGCCAAAAACAATAATTTCTATAATTATGAAATCTAAATCCGTGACAAAAATACCTCAGCAAATTCCTTTACCTAATTTAATGCATCCTTATGAACTCAAGTACTGAAATACATCAAGCATTGCATTTCATTTTGAACCAGAAAAAGAAAATGTCAATTTAAAAAAAGTCAAAATATCTAAAACAAATAAATTATTATAAAAATTTTCATAACAAATATGATAATAATGCTTGTTATGAATAGTCATACAAGACTGTAACATTAAGTTTTGACTGACTTATCAAATTTCAATCCATATTTGGATAATAAATGCTATTAAAGAGGGTAAATGCATTTATCAACCATAATCCTAGGCCTATAGCCTTATAGACTGTAAATTACTCACCATTGTATTAAGAGTAGTGATAGTATCTTCCACCGAGTCCTTACCACCATCTGTATGCAAAGGGGATGAAGGGTATGGGGTCTCACCGCTACTGCTGGACTCTGTAAAGCTAGGTGTCCCTTCAGTCCAAGTGGGAGTAGATCCTCTTGGTGTAGAAGCAGATGGTGTCCAATTGTGAGTTCTACCAGCATTGTCAACTGATAAGTTACTTCTTGTATCCAAACGCACCTCAGAAGTACAAACTGAATCATCTTTGTGTGATATCCTAGTAATGGTAACTAAAGTTCTCCTAAGATCTGCAGAATCTGCAGGGCCATGACTCGTTGAATGCATTACATCATCAAATGCAGGTGGAGGTGTAGAAGAACTAGAACTGCAGGAAGGGGCATTTCCTGATTGGAAACTACGACCAGACGATCTAGATGTACCAGGTCCATTATTGCGACTTCCAGAAAATGTGTTACTATGCCAGGGTCGCCTGTTTTCAGCTTCACCATCCCCTTCCACTGGTCTCTGACCTCGTGTGATGCTCTTGCGTTTGGATGGTGAATGCTTCAATGGTGATGGTAATTTCTTGAATACAGTTTTAGCCATGAAATCTTGAAATCTCTGAGCATAGAACCCAGGGCGGTGTACAGAAACTGTGTCTCCATCATGTATTATACTCTTCCAGGTATGTTCGAGTTTCTTCTTTAAACGATATGATTGAAGAATATCTATTATTCCAATAAATAATAATAATCTTTCACCTTTTGCTGTGCGTGCAGGAATACCGCCAGGAGGTACATCTTCCTCTTCATAAATTGGTTCACATTCTGCTTGAATGCTTTCCATAGCTGTAGAGTGGGCTACTAGCCTTTGCCTGTTAATAGATTTGGAGCGATTCAATCCTTCACGAGTTCTTTCATGTTGAATTAAAGAGTCTGGATTATCAGATGCACCTTCCTCATAATCAGATTCGTCAGCACGATTATTCTGCACCTGCTGCCCAACTTCAGACTTTTCCATCAAAGCTGTATCTAAGTTATGTATGGCTAACAGAAGAGAATAATCCATAATTTTGAAACTCTCCAAGACCCTACAATCCCTTTGTATAGTTTTTACCAATGCATTGTACGTATCAGCTTCTAACAATAATCCTTCCGGATGCTGTTCCATAAAGTCCAAATCCTTGAATGTCGGTGACTTTTTGTTACGTTCCAATTTAGAGGCTTTTCTTTTATATGTAGAACCTTTTAAATCATATTTTTGATGGAGCTTTATTGAACTAGGTAGCAGATTATTCATTGCGACAAGACGAACATTTTTACTATTGCATTGATAGCAATAAAGACCAAAAAACTTTGGTAATAATGTCCTCGGATTCTGGTTAAGGTTCATGTAATATCCTGGAAGCAATTTTTGTAAAAACTCTCCTTCTTTATGTTGTACTGTTTTTATAATAAATTCATCATCCTCTGTTAAATAAAAGATTGAACCACTCGCACCCGGATTTGAAAGCTCTCTAAGGGGAGCTGAACACATAGACATTAAATAGTCATCTGGCTGGATACCAAAAAGATCACGAAAATAACGAAATGCAATAGGAGCATAATTTTTAAATCTAAATTCAGAATAATGATGAGCAGGAGTATGATTTGAACCTTCATGAGGAAAATTGGTGCTCTCCAGGGTCATGAAGTCCTGCATTAGCAAATCTCTTTCAGGCTTAGAAGCTAAACTACCAACTGCATGCTGAATGCCTAGCTGGATAGAGCCCATAATCTGAGTTGTTTGAATTTTTTTATAAGTAATTTCACCACCAACACCAACTCTTCTGTGACCAATTTTTCTTTCTTTATCACGCATGCCTACAGAACGCCCAATTTGAGCAGCACCTGATTCTAAGGTCATCATAGACTTTGGTTCAGCAGCATGGTTTTCATCACCTATCTGCACCTTGGACATATTGTTCTCTTGCAGATTCTTGAATGATTCTGAATTCGCTAATTCTATAGCATCAATTCCATCACCGGATGCCATTTTTCACTATCAATGTCAAATATCTTAACAGAGGCAATAAAAGAAAAAATGTAAAACACCTGCAATAGAAAATGACAGTGTCTGAATCGACTAGATCATGATAAGTATTGTACAATGATATATCATTTGATGTTTCTCTAAAATTATTTACCCTTATATATAGGTCACGTTTAATTAATTATTTGTGAAGAGTTCCCAACCAAGCCATGCCCAAAGGTCGAAAAACAGCATTGTGGGCAATAGAACAGTCGCCAACAGAAAGTAGTATAAGAGTGTTGACATGACATACTCTGAAATATAAGTTATATTTACTACTTATTCAGGCAACATATTTCACGTTTTATATTCTTATAAAAATTGTGAAAATGAATTCAATCTCGAGAATTCAAAAAATGACAATTTTATAGAATTGAGGTTAGTTAACTAATTAGAACATAGACAATTAGTTCAAATAGTTGTGCGTACGTTCTATAAACTCTGCATGAAAAAATTATACGAAAAAAACACAGAACATTAAACTTCTGTAAAGAAATATATACTCTAAGCGATACTTAAAAGAGATTGACGCCCTTGTCAAATGTTCTGTAATAAATTATGTTTACGCAATTTAGAATTATGTCAAACAATACTTACAATTCCCATTATATAAATGATTAAAATTTAGATATCCATGAATTTAGTTAGGTTTCATATTTTCATATAAAAGACAGGAATATAATATAAGAAAGAAACACAGTTTATTACACCAATCACACAAATATGTCAAACTATCGGATTTATCTGCTAATATCTCCCTTTCATGCTACAACGAAAGACAGCATCGACTATGAAAATAATGTGGATGTAACCTTTCTAAAAAAAATATTATGTTTTTTTTGTTTTTGCCTACATTAATTTTATTATAAAATATCTTATTAAATGAACATTGTATTATATTTCCGAATAGGTACAATTTAATCCAAAAGGTAAATGTTTGCTGCATCGATTTAAATAAATACAGTATATATATATATATATATATATATATATATATATATATATATGTATATTATTAGACTTTGTTATATATATATATATATATATATATATATATATATATGAATATATATATACTTTTCTTTTATCTATGAGTAGTACCTCGATTATCCAGACCTCAGTTATACGGATTTGCGATTATCCGGACTACCAACCAAGACAGATTTATATGTATGTACATACCTACAATTCGAATTTTTGCACGATTTATGCTGCAGTTTAGTATATGCATGTAATATAATCTAAGAAAATATATATGTACATACATAAGGAAATGCTAATTTCTTATTAAACATTGACTTTTGTTAATATTTATGTATGTATTATATATATGCAAACAATATTATATTATGATAGTATAATGATATTCCCAGAATAGATGTATACAATTTGTATCTTAATGTAAAAATCAACGTATGTATTTAAGTCAAATAAAGCAAATTTTCAATTTAAAAAAATTATGTATGTATTTGTTATTTTTGATAAATACACACCATTATTCTTCATACATTGGATTATCCAGATGCCTATCGACGACAATTAGTCCGGTTAATCGAGGTTCTACTGTATTCAATTTTGATACAGCAAACCATATAGTAGTTCCATGTAAGATTTATTTGATATTATTTTTAAAAATAAAAGTAACAAGACATTTTATAAAAATATAAGTAAAGTATTTTAATCTGAATTTTCAATGTCTGAAAAGAAAACTTTCAGAGTGATTTAAAAACATAATTCTAATATGCTATTCATTAATAATGAAAGTATTATTCGATTGACTATGTTGAAAATGTTATTTGATATAAAAAAAAACTAATTAAGTTGGGGCACTATATTACAATATGCATAGAAATAGAAATTATGTTTGATTCGTAAATGAATCCAACCAATGTTCGCATAGTCCTGTTCTGTGTACAGCGTGAAGGTATATTCAACAAATGGGCAGTGCTTGCAGCTCCACTCATACTACATGTAAAAATTGACAGTAGTGTAAACTGAACATTAGCGAGAGTTCTCTATAATCTTGCTCTTTTAGTAAACCAAAACAATAGTTCGCTCGCGAAGAAAGCTCTCGCCTAATGTTCTTCCTGGTAACATTAATCGCAACGCTAATTAAGTGGCAATGATTAAAATACTCTGACAAGCGTAATGGGTGCTCACTGCCCCAAAAACGTGCGCTTTTCAAACAAAACATCGACACACAATAATGTAAAATGTGAATAATTGTTCAAAATAAGTGTCCGTTTTTTAATGAAAAGTGTGTGTTCTGTCAATCAAATATGTCTTACGTACCCCTAAAGTTTTACGATGTTTGTCGTCTTTGCTTATCTGTTTGTGGTTGTGATGACAAGTTCGAGATTTTTGACGATTTGCCGAATGAAAACTACAGTGGGATATCGGACAAAATTATGAGTTGTTTGTCTGTTGATGTAAGTGCTTTTAGTATTAACTGCTCTTTTCGATTCTTTTGGCTTTAGTTTTTTTGGATGATAATAGCAACGCCATTATGCACTGTAAACTATTTTCGTCACTGCATTAGTATATGTGGTGATGCACATGTATGTGTCGATGGTATAGAATCGCTTTTGTCAGGTGCCCTTTTCAATGTGTATGTGCGAATCGTATGAGATCATGGCAACCTACGCAACGCTCTACATACTTGCATGTATCAACAATAGATATGATTCATAATATTTTACACAAGTTTATTGACTCTCTGGTAACGTCAGATATTTCGACTGCTTTTTCAGCAAAAGATAATATTTTTTTTAAGTTGTTCTTTTTTAAGTCGTATATATTAGATAAGATTCAGCTTTCTCCTTGATACGAGTTTCATCATTTCTGGCGATTGCTCATTATTCAATTAAATACGTCTGAAACTAAAATTGCGCATGTGTATATATGTATATCATGTTCCTCTGAATCTGAACGCCAGAATATATCAGTAATAAATATTCTTGGAATGGAAGCAGTCTGCGTGACAGGGTTTCCCAATAATACATCTCGTACACGCAATTTAAACATAAAAATCAGCACATATCTCATTTCATTGATAAAAATATTTAGTAAAGATGTATACAAATATCCCGCAATATCTACATCAGATACAAATTATTAATTCTTTGGAAATAAGTTGCATATCTAACTTTTTATCTTTTTCTTTGCATAATTCGTATAGAAATATTAATAATAATAATATATTTCATATTGTTAATTTTATAATGAACAATGGAAGTAAGAAAATTTCACTTCATGTACCATAAAAAAGTGTCTTCTAATATATTTACTCATATAGTTTCTCAATAGATTTTGTGTGAATGGTTTTCTCATTCGATCCATTTGTTATGATATTCCTGTATTCACTATTTTCATCCGTTTGCTTCTGCTTCATCTGTTGGCCACTCACGTATCTTGTAACAGGCCAGCCTTCGTAGAAAATATAGTGAATGGTGACAGGTAAATCCTAACCTTTTTTTCGACCACGAGATGCACGCATTTTCTTCAAAGATCGATAAAAACAATAAATGAAATTTTTGTGCTTTTAACTATATGTAACGAAATTGTATTATTCATTTCTCTATGTATATATATATATATATATATATATATATATATATATATATATATATACATATATATACTCCACTTTTTGAAAAACTGAGATATTAGTGCGAAAGTATGATCATAATTTTTTGTGATTTTAATAACTTTCCGGAATAAAAATTATCACTGTAAAACGGATTTTTTTGACTATTGAATAATAAGTCATTTATTTCAGAAGACATTTTGATTAACTCCATTCTGTAGCGTATATGATCCGACTGGGACGGTTTTCGGAATCAAATCCATGAAGTACGGATAAGAATTTAGGAAAAATATAATATATAAATATGTTTGATTAGCAAAGAACTGTAGGGTCTCGTGGGCCAAGGAAACAAACTCTGAAAAATAACAAACTAAAGTACCGGCAAAACAGAAATATTAAAACTGTCTTAAGTTTATTAAAACTTGTGCAAAGTACAGAAATAAGAGCTAAGTCAATTGAAATGATATTTATGGTCAGTAGAAATAGCTATTTACCTAATGATTCAAAAATTTGCCATTATTGAGCCACACATGCGAAAAAATCAATACATTTTTTCATCAGATGATTGGTACAACAATATAATAAAAACATGTAAAAAGAAAGCGCCATTTCAGATTTTTATCAACAAAACCATTAGATCAATCAATCACTAACAGAAAAGTAACCATCACAGGGTGCCAATTAAATTGGCTTAAAATGCGCTGGATAAAGTTAAAAAGGTCCAAAACCAATATAATACAATTTAAATGTAACTATAATGAAGATACGGATTTTAAAGTCGTAATGTAAGAAAGTCCAGGTAGCCCAAAATGTTTGAATAATATACATTAGTCTTTATTATATTCTAAAGCTAGAGCTTTGGCAAAAAAAAATTGAGAGACATGAAGGACTTGCTAAAATTAATTTCTCCCGTTTATCATGAATACTACAAAAACTGGGTTTTTAATATGGAAATTTCAATTGACAAATCATCACTGAATATAGCCGATGGAGA